TTCTAAAACATTCCAGCTAAAAGTCATTCTGAAAGCCTAAAACAGCAAAGCAAAAGTTTTAATGATTAAACTAAACATTTTCATTAAAATCTAAATTTCCTAACGACTAAAAACACAAAACATTAAATGAAGAGCCGTTTATTTCTTATGTAATGTTTTCCTTTCATCATAATGATTAGACAAATATTTAACTTGTGAAAATATTGATGGGAGTTGCTGAAAGCTTTACGCAAACGACTGCAAACAAAAGCTTCGATTTTACACGAAAGTTCGGATTTTAAATTAAAAAAACAATTTTTTGGTTTTGTTATTTGGTAGAAAATAAAACAGAATATTAAAATGTTATTATTTATAATTTATAAATAAATGATGGAAATAATTGTTTATTTAAATTAGACACAAACTAATAATAACTTTACACCACAGGTGTTTTTTACAGTGTATTTTAGGCAGAAAACATAAATTCWTGAGTTTTAGTTAAAAATTCTAACATTTTCAGACCCAGATCTATGATCCTGGATCAGTTTTATCCTTTAAAAGCTTTAAATGATATCATATGTTTATAATAGCGTCCATAAAAAGGCTTTGGTCTCTTTAAAAAGGTGAGTTATCCGCTCAGGTGAACCTCCACCCGCCTCAAGATCAGGAGCATTTTTCTCTTTTTAGTTTTGTTCTTTTAAAGGACAAAACTCGAAGTAAACAATTCAAACATTAAACAACAAACACGTCTGGACTCACCGAGCGGCTCGGTTCGGTTCGGTCCGGTTCTCAGCAGTAAACCGTGCTCTCAGTCGGTGTTTCCGCAGCCAGGTGTCACCATGTTTCTCCCGCTGCTTCCTGCTCCTGGCGGCGGCTCCCCGCCCTTCCTCTCCTCCGCTGCCCCGAACCAACCTGCCGGACCGGTCCGACCAACTCCCGGAGCTCACTGCACCGAGCCGAACCTGCAGCCGAGGCAGCGCCTGAAAGAAGGGAGCGCGCAGGCGTGCTGAGCACGTGACGCGCAGGTAAAGCTGTCTAATTGGAGTCCTAATTGGAGCAGGTGATGGTTTGGTGGGCGGGGCTACCTGAGGGCGTTGTTGGAGAACTGGATGTTTTAGGTCACTTATTGTGTTTAAAACCCTCACAGCTTTAAAAATAAACACGTCTATAAAAGTAGCAAACTGGTTCCTACAAGCTAAAAGTAGCAGAACCCTAGCTGAAAGCTAAGTTACACACAAGCTAAAAGTTCTAAACAATGTATCACAAGGCTAAAAGTAACAATACTGAAAGAATAATGAAAAGCTAGTTAGGGACTAATAGCTAAATGCTAACCTAAAACCTAGCAATTAAAGGGTTGCTTAAAGGTAAAAGTTGCAGAATGGTAGCTAAAAGTTGCAAAAGGCTAGCTAAAAAAATGACAAAACTGTGACAAAAATTAGTAAAAGGTGAATTAAAAGCTAAAAGTAATAAAAGGATTGCTTATAGCTAAAAGTAGCAGAACTGTATCTGAAAGCTAATGGGTACAAGCTGGTAGTTAGAAACCAAAAGTAAGGGACTAGGTAAAATCAAAAGGCTAAACATGTAAATAAAACTTGATGAAAAATAATTTAAAAAACTAGTTAGAGACTAACAGCAGCTAAAAGCTAACCTAAAACCTAGCAATTAAAGGGTCGCTTAAAGGCAAAAGTTGCGGAATGGTAGCTAAAAGTTGCAAAAGGCTAGCTAAAAAAGGACAAAACTGTGTCAAAAATTAGTAAAAGGTGAATTAAAAGCTAAAAGTAATAAAAGGGTTGCTTAAAGCTAAATGTAGCAGAACCCTAGCTGAAAGATAATGGGTACAAACAGTTAGAAGCTAAATGTACCAAAGGACTAGATAAGATGTATCAAAAAAATAGACTTATAGCAGCTAAAGGCTAACTTAAAACCTAATAGTAATTAAAGGGTTGCTTAAAAATAAAAGTAGGCAAATAGAAGCCAAAAATAGCAAAAGGCTAAAAATGACTAAATTGGCAAAAAGTTGTAAAACTCCAGCAGAAAATAAATAAAAAATGTCTAAAAATATTAAAAGGCTAACTAAAGCTAAAAGTAGCAAGCTACGGGGTAAATATAGCAAAGGATTAACAAATACGACAAACATGCTAGCTAAATGCATCACAAAGCTAAATGTTACAAAAACATGCTGAATAAATAAAAAGCTATCAGGGGCCTAAAAGTAGCTGAATGCTACCTAAATGCTAAAAGTAATAAAAGGGTTGCTAAAAGCTTAAAGTAGCCAAATAGTAGCTAAAAGTAGCAAAAGGCTAAAGATTGCAAAAATGTGTGAAAAAGTCGTAAAAGTCCAGCTGAACGCTGAATGTGATACACTGATTGTTGGAAGCTAAAAGTAGAAAAAATAGCTAATAGTAGAAACATGCTAGCTAAATGTATCATGAGGCTAATTGTAACAAACAATGCTGAAAGAGTAAAAAAGCTATCAGGGGCCTAAAAGTAGCTGAATGCTATCTAAATGCAACTAGTAATAAAAGGGTTGCTAAAAACAGAATGGTAGCTAAATGTAGCAAAAATGACAGCTGAGAAAAAGTAAAACTTTAACAAAAAGCTAAAAGTATTAAACTGCTAGCTAGAAGCTAAAAGTTTCAAAGAACTAGCCATAGTATAAAATGCTAGCTACAAGGAGCCAAAAGCTAACGAAATATAGTAAAACACCTAAAGGTATCACAAGGATTTAAACTTTTTTTCAGAAATTATTTTCTTTTTTCTGTTGATCATGGTGCTCGTAGTTCTTCCTGCTTTTACCAGCAGAGGACGATCGTTCAGAAAGTTAAACCGGAAGTAAACAACGAAACCCCACCTCCCATGTCACGTATCGACCAATCAGGAGTCTCCATCCAGACCCACTCAGTTCAGCGCAGTCGGTGTGGTTCAGTCAACTAATTTACCGACAGAGAGCTAAAAACAAAACACCTGTATATATATATATTGATTTTTATACTTTTTATTTCTTTGTTTTCCGGCTCAGAACAGCACCCGGAGCAACAAAGCTCGGACTCGAGCCGCCAACTGCACCATGGTTGGTGTCAAAGTGATCGGGAGCGACCCAGACTTCCAGCCGGAACTAGCCGCCGCCGGCTCCAGGCTAGCCGTAGTGAAGTTCACCATGGCCGGGTAAGCTCGCAAACACACCGGGCAGGCCTTTCAGTTGATATGGAAGCGGTTGATTTAATTAATTGAAATGATTAGGAAGGTGATTAGCAACATAATCTGTAATGAAGTGTCGCTTTTATGTTAAAATAGCGATGCTAACGTTAGCATGTGGCTAACTAGCTGTGTTGCTCACAGTGACACGGCAGTATTACAGTCAGCTGGCTGTTACAGGGTGTAGTAACAGTGTTATGACATGTTGGCTGTTCAATGTGACTTTATAATTGTGACAACTTGTCCCATAAATGTTCACGTTTATCTGTTTAGTATTTATTATCTTCACTTGTCAGATTAGCATTTTCATGACGATCAGTGCTGCCTCCACAGGTGCAGACCCTGCGTCAGAATAGCTCCAGCTTTCAACATGTTGAGCAACAAATATCCTCACGCCGTCTTCCTGGAGGTTGATGTTCACGTCTGCCAGGTACGTCTGACCTGCCAGCAGCCCCTCGTGGCTGTAGGAGAATCAGGACACCGCTTTAAGATCAGATTAATACATTTTAATGACATTATAATCATGGAAACACAAAGTTGTTTGTTCTTGGTTTACGTTGTTGTGATGTCACAGAGTCTTTTTAAAGAAATGTTTGTTTTTTTGTCACCCTACTTCCTCTGCTATAGGGGACGGCGGCAGCCAACAACATCTCAGCCACACCCACCTTCCTGTTCTTCAGGAACCGGGTTCGAGTGGATCAGTACCAGGGGGCTGACGCCGCGGGCCTGGAGGAGAAGATCAAACAGCACACAGAGAACGACCCGGGAAACAACGAGGACTCTGATATTCCAAAGGGATACGTGAGTGTGTGTGTGTGTGTGTGTGTGTGTGTGTGTGTGTGTGTGTGTGTGTGTGTGTGTG